TATTTATTGCTCCTTGAAGTGGGTTCGTAGCTCAGGCTTAATACAGTCTTGAAATGGATTATCACAGCTGAAAGCGATATAAGCCGAATCAGTGTCCATCTCCTGATACTGGAAGTCAGAGCGAACGAAGTAGAAATTTATGCAGTCATAGTAAAACTGAAGCATGCGTAGCTTAGCAAGCTGATAGATAGCAATCGACAAATGGATTGGGTTCTTATTATTGAGTCGGCGCTTCTTCATCGTGATCTCACACGCATCATTAAGCTCCTCGAGACCATGGAACGTAAAGTGTTCGATCTTGTTCTTAATAGCTTTGTCACTCGACTCATACTTAACCTCTTTGTGCTTGCTCATATCCATGCCAGATCGACCAAAAGCACTGTTGCCTACCAGCTTCACCATCTCGGCAATCATAGCCTTCGACTTATCAACATCACCCTCTCGCCGGGCGTTTGATACAGCCTTCATAAATGGAGCAAAAGCTTTATGGGAGCTCGCTTTTATGAAGCTGTAAGTCTTGGTGATCTCCAAACCATGAGAGAGATACCACTTCAGCAAAGGTGCGTATATGGGAATCTTTTCACCAAAGTAGCTACCAATCAACTTGCGAGCTGGTTTTGCTCGGCTTGCTTGCGCGCCTCATTGTGTTCGAACATGTGCTTACCAATGACGCTCTCATTCGTACAGTCGATCAGTACATTCTTGAAAATTGGAGTCATCTCACCAAAGTACTGTTTAAAGTATTCTGGTGTTCGGATATCACATTCAAGAAAGCCGAATACTTTGTATGCTTTGATGTCATCGATGATACCATCATACGCTTCAACCGTAGTCAATCGACCGCATGGCATCTCATTACCAAGGGCCCATATATATAGAGCGTTAGCGTCGTATCCGATAATTTTGTTGCAGATCTTACCTCCACGAATCTTCGTCTCGTTTCGCTTAGCATACCTGTTGAATATAGTTGATGGTCTTGTTAGCTTTCATTTTCCCGTAAATCTCCGATTCCTCCTTGTCAATCGAAAACACCAATCTGTCTGCGTTAAAATCAAGCAGTGTCTTGTATCTGAACCCCCTAAGAGACATATCTTTTCGAGCGGTGTTGCATGAAATGCAGCTGATTACGATATTCCCATCAGTGTGCCCAAGATTGTTATTGATTCTATCAGCGGAAGCGGTATCAGCAGTCAGCTGACAATAGCATAGACCACACAGATACTTTTGCTTTTGCAGCAATGTATTCACGTGCTCGAGCGTCATACCAAATTTTCGTTTTGCCTTAGCAACCTGACTCTTGTAGCCAGCCATGCGCTTCGCTGGAAATCGGAATGCGTTAGCAGGCTTCTTATCCGGATATTGGAGATTATTGAAGCAGGTCTGATACATAACCTTCTCTGAAAGACCAGGTAGGGGCACTCCATCCGCAAACATATCCAGATCGAAGCGCTTAAAAAAGCTCTCGCTGAGCCTTGATAGCTTTGGTGAAAGGGACTACGTCGAGATTATTGTACCAGATCAGTAGGTCTTTGATCGATTTCATCTCGTGGTAATCCCACTCGAACTTCACTCGTTCGTAGTCATCGCTCGTGATGCTCGTTCCACGGAGCTTACTATCAAAAGCTGACTTAGGTGGGATAGTAGTCTGCTTTAGAACATTGAACGCGGTGATGTAGTCGTAAGGGAAAAGACCCTTACCAAGACCACAGACACATCTAATTTTGTCATCGCATTTGCAGCCACCGAGATATGTTGTAAGATACTTGTCGTAGCTGGTACCAGCTGGTACATAGTTAGTGATATCAAGCATTTTCATGTCCGATGTAGCAATGTACATGTAGCTGGGGTTCTTGATGACAGATTTGACGTTGTCGGTACCAATTACGGCAAACAAATCTTTCTTAATCAAGTTAATATCATATCGACCAGAATTAAAGCCGAATACTGGTACCTGGTCAAGCTGCTGTTTCAGTTTCCCATAATCAGACCTTTGCTTACCAAAACCAAGACTGCGGTGAAAGTCAAAGAAGCTGGCATACTTTCCCTCTTCAATCCAACTCTCCACATCAGACATCTTGTACTTTTTATCAGAATTAGCGCCTGGGACTTCCATACCTGTCAGACCATGTGCATTGATGATTTTTTGTAGAAGCGACATATATTTATTGACATTGTACTGCTGAATCTTAACCGATACATCACCAATGTAATTGAACATTTCGGTAAGTAGCATCTTTGGATCGTTATTTACAAAGCAACGCACCCCCTCGGTTATACTATCAGCTACTGATACCGACACAGGAATGTGTTCGTTCGTGAAGACAGTATTCTCCCCGTGTTGAGTCGCGGTAATCTTAAGAATGGCCTCAAAGTCATAAACGATGAAGTGATCGATGTACTGGTCAGTATTCCTGATTGAATACTTCGTAAGCAGTGATCGTATTACGTTCTGAGCTGGTTTGTAGATAGTTGGCTCAGCTGGGAAGCTTTCGATATTCACGAGCTCACATTGATTCTTTTTGTGATTTTTTACTTTTTCAGCGCTGACGAAAACCACTTCACACTTAGGGCATTGATACTTAGCCTGAAGCATGTCAATGTTCTTGATGTAAAGAGCATGATTCTCGAGCGATAAAATATCCATAGCTTCATACCCCTCGTCCGATCTACGAATGCATTCTACATTTCCGGAAGCTACATCCATGCTATATACGCTAATACCGAGTTGGAAGCAGTCCTCAACCTCATCGAGCTGTAGTAGGTCAATAGGCTTGAAACTTCTAAATGGACTCAGCGTATACTTCACCCTCTTGAAAGAGCAGTAGCGCTTGAATACCTCCTTCACCTGAGCCTGAATTCTGCGAGGATCCTTCTTAGGGCTCTAGAATGTATGCCAGGCGAAACAGTGGAAGGCGCACTTGTTGTTGGTCGTAGGGAAGTTGATTACATGCTTGTTTTCGCGGATAATCTTAGGAATAACAGCGTCGCTATCCCCAAGAGCATGGTCGCGATGGTAGACGAAAATCTTGAATGCAGTGATCGCCTTAAGCTTATATCCCGAGCTGGGATAGTTCAGCCCAAATAGACGTGGCTCGCTATAAGGTGGGCGTCGTCAAATCAACGTCTTTTAGCTCTCACCGGTTGGGCGGTTCTAAAATTACCCTAAGATCGAAAAGACGTTGCTTTCGCTCTCAAGGTTGCGTCGTCAAAATAGCAGCTGCCTGGTCTCGCAGGTAAATTACGGAAAGTAAAAAAAAACTGCCGGCGTCATGTTCCATGTCATACTACTAACGTTTTCGTGGGAAATGCCTGATGCCGAGTTTCCAGATATTGAAAAATTCAGGCGATTCTGCGGGGCCCAAAAAACTGAATTCGGAATTACTACAGCGATGGCGCTCTCTCGGAAGGAGTAATCGTTTGGCCTGGTTAAAAGATTTGTACACTCTGGTTGCTTATACAAGTGTTTGGCCTTATGTAGCCGCACAACTTTGTCAGTACAGCCATGTGTGTAATTGACGCACATGCTGCCGAACTGTACTGTGATACCGTACTGTACGTATTACGAAGTAGTACCGATATTAGTGATTGGATACTTTAAGAAGCATGTTTCCTGTTCATAATTTAAAAAAGAGTATGCAACCGTTATAACTAGTTTGCACTGCTCGCCACAATCGGGGTAGGAAGTTGAAGGTTGCTGCGCAACAGCAGTAGCGACTCAATAGCTAGGCCTTTTCGGTCGTCGTGGGCATCATGCTCTTGCTTGTGATCGGCCAAATAGTGCCACTCCATTCCTGCATGGATAAAAATATCTTAGAATATCGCATCCGCGTTATTGATTCACTAGATGATCTTCATACCGGGATGATCGGGCCCAGATCAACGTCGTCTGTATCCCAGCTGACGATTTTGTGCACTGCGGGAATCATGTGGTCGAACACAAACACAAGCGCCAGGGGCGTCGCCGAGCTCCATGGGTGTATGTGGCTTGTACATCATTCTCTTATGCTTTTCTCTCAAGTTTTGTTGGTCTTGGTCTGGATGACGCAAATTGGTAACTGAGTCTCAAAGGCACCCATTTCATTGACCACCATTCGTGATGAGCATGTGTAATTATTATAGCAGCATAGAAATGATTAGCGTCAACTTCAGCCTGCGAAAAACCCACTTGCCAATAGCCTCTTTTGTAGATCTCAAGAAGATCGTCCATTTAGCAACACATTGCGTCATCATCGCTTTAAGTTGTGACTGCTGCTGCGATGCTTAAAAAAAACCTTCTTCAACAAAATATGGGAATTCGTTTTTTGCGTTGGTAGTGCCGTCTCGGTGGGCCATCGTGTCGTCGGACGCGAAGCGAACAGGTGACGACGGCGACCATTTTGAAGCGCGTTGAAACAAGTGCCACGTCGGAGTCGTGCCAACTGGTACACCTCGGGAAGTATGTCGTATGACTCTCGCTTTTTCATAAAGGCTCTTTAGGTCGAGCGATCCAGGCTAAAAAGTCAATCGCCGTCAACTGACCGGTCCTGGAGCTATCTCCGATACAGTAGGCGTTGCCGACGACGAAACGCCTGACACAGTGACGTGTGCAGCATGTTGCCCTTCCGTGGTCCCGCGAATGGTGGCAATCCGCGATCAAGTTTATTGCATTCTGTTTCGTCAACGCTTTTCACCTTTTATCTCATGTTTATGTTGTAGAATATAGCGCTAATAATTACAAAAGCGACAACTTCAATTATGAAAATTCGGACGCATCTCGTCGATAACAAGGAGAAACATTGTGTCGCATTAGATCTACTCTATGGCGATACACCACACGCTACATATACAGTGTACACACCACCACCAGGTATTATTACCCCGTACACGACACTTCTGTCGTGACGACGAGAAAACGATGCGTCTGGAGAGACGCGTTTGCTTGAAGTTCAAAAGTGACCTCACAGTTTTCCACGTAAGCTGAAGTTGATGTCCGTAGCTGAGACACAGTCGAGCGTCCCGCAATGCAGTCTCTATGCTACGGGACGCAAAAGAACGCCGCGATCCAGAAGGTCGACGTGTACTAATTCACAAAGCTGCCGTCTTCAGACTCAGTTACCAATTCCCGCCAAGACCAACAAGACTCCGAAAAGAAGAACACTACTTCAAGAGAATGCTGTACAAACCACACACACCTATGGAGCTCGGGGATGCCGTGATAGGCCACATCACGAGTGCATTCGTGCTTGTGTTCGGCTTTATGGTCCCCGCTGTACACAGCGTTGTTAGCTGGGAGACCAACCTCAGTCCCATCGTTCCGGTACGATAAACTGCACCACTGACAAATCGGCTGGACTAACGTCAAAATTATGTTTAATTGAAGGAATGTGCTGGAGACATAAGCCCAGTCAGCAAAAACAAGACGCTCGATTCGCTGCCCCGCCACTAATTTGGCTTATTAATAGCTCGTGTCGGGTACTGGTACTGTTTCACTGCGCGACGACGGTACCATCAGCGCAAGGAGTCTGAATCAACTCGACCTTAACAGCGAGTGCCCGCTTACATACTGCTTTAATTTATACTTTTTAAACATGCGCTGCTTTGGCCCTGTAGCACCTAAAAAATGTTGTTGTGCTTTTTTGAAGAGCTAATTTAAGTACTCTACAAAAAAGCGCTTTCGAAAACGGCATCTTAAAAAAAAAGCAATAGGAGCTTTGATGTCGCTTTTAAGTCTGACGTTGAAAAGTGCTCGCTTAACTGAGGGTCGCTCTTAACCACGCCATGGCACAAAAGCTGTAATCCGATTGGATGAGCGCTTGCTAGGGCTAGAGTTTAAAGTAAATAAAATGACAGGAAGTGCCACGGACATTCGCAAGTGTCATGGCAAGGGGCAATTGCCATGTGCCATGCTACTTTTAATTGCATTTATGTATATTTTAAAAATTGTTTTCATGATGGCACAGTGGCAGGTCTATTCGTAACCACGCCATGCCATGGCTCAATCTCTAGTGCCATGGCATGGCACACGTGGCAGTGGCTAAGAGCCACCCTGAGAAAAAAGCTTTCTGTTTTTCTAAAAGCACTTTGATTTCGAATCACTTTTTACAATGACATTTTATCAAATCATTGCGATAAAAAATAAAAAGGAATTCCAAAGGTGTTAAATAAAGCGTTTCTTTTTGAAAAAACAACGACTCTTAATTTTTTTGGCTTTCTAATATGATCAAATATTAATTGAGGCCTTTTTTCGAAAGCGTTTAAAAATCGAGCTCTTACCAAACGGTTTTCGTTTAATGGTCAGCCAGCCATCCGTCAAACCGACGTCTGCCACAAACATCAAGATGACCGACTCCGCCGGTGCGAAAATGAACGCTGCGACCATCGCCGAGCCCTTCAGCTTGGCCGTGCGCCAGTACATTGAGCAGGACATGGGTGGCGTGGGTCCCAAGCTCGTGGGTTTGCTGGCTCACGGCGACCCGGCCGCCAAGAAGTACGCCGAGGGACGGGCAAGGCCTGTGCACGCGACGGCATCCGCTACGAGCTGCGCGAAGTGCCCAAGGACGAGCTGCTGGAGGCTTTGGAGAAGGCCAACAAAGACTCGGATGTGCACGGTATTCTCGTGTACTACCCGTGCTTCGGCGCCTTCCCGAGCTTCTTCGGTGGCACCATGGACGATTTTTTGCGCGACAGCATCAGCATTAAGAAGGACGTGGAAGGACTGTGCCAATTCTACCGTGGCAACTTGTACCGTAATATGCGCTACGTAGACGACGAGAAGACGCAAAAGTGCGTGCTGCCTTGCACACATTTGGCAATTGTCAAGATCCTCGAACACCTTGGCGTTTATGACAAGACCAAGCCTACTGGCGACCACTTGTCAGGTGTTAACATCACGGTTGTTAGCCGTAGTGACATTGTAACAGCGAACGTCCCCTACTCGTTCACTTGCAGAGGTCGTGTACGATGTCTGGACAGTGTTTACGACGGAAGAAGTAAGCGTTAACACACTACTCGCCCCACACTTGGCAGAAGGGGAATTGCTGGAGCTCCACCCTTGGTGGACTCCGTTAGAAATAAAAATATCAACCAAGTATCCAACGGGCGAGTGACTATCAATACTAAAAAGACTTCTGGTTTCTGAGACTGCGTCGTCCAGGTCTCATACATTGTCGGCCGCCCATTGGCTGCTATGCTTGCGAATGACGGCGCTGACGTGTACAGCGCCGACATTTACTCGCTGTACCTATTCCGTCGCGGTAAGCTCATCCCGAGCGAAGAGACGCAGGAGACGGCGTGTAAGAAGTCTCGTGTCATCATTACTGGCGTCCCCGTTAAGAGCTACAAGCTGCCGCTTGAGTGGGTCAGCGAAAACACGGTCATCATCAACGTCGCGTCCTTCAAGAACGTGGACGAGGCCGAGCTGCTTAAGATAAAGGGCGTGCAGTACGTGCCACTGGTGGGTAAGGTCACGGTGGCCATGCTCGAGCGCAACCTGCTGCGTCTGTACGAGAACTTCCACTGGAAGCCTAAGAAGGTCTGGCAGTAAGAGTGTGGATGAGGATAGAGAGAACACCTCGCTTACCGCTAAAGTACATATATCTTCCCCGTTACAGGGAAATTCACAGCGTGTGCAGTACCGTAATACGCTAACTCCATCCAATTACACTTAATAGCGCCTATGCTGACTCCATTATCTCTACATGCACTAAACTGGACGCTGTGACTTTATTCTGGTCGTTCACGGCTTTCGCTTCGAGTGTGTGCGGCCCCACGCCGAGTCCACGCAGCAGCATATTGCCATCGTCCACGTGGGTTTTCTTCAAGTAAATGTCGTCATCAATCAGCAACTCGAGAGTTTGTACATTCACGGCTGTGTACTCGAGGACAATAGACTGATGTCGTTCGAAGATAGCACCATCCAAGGGAGACGTTAGTGATAGGTGTACCTCGTCCCCAATAGAGGGAGTAAGTGGCTTTCGAACGTAGACATCTTTCTTGTATGTCGTGAGCTCTTCGATTAGCCCAGGAATGGGGATAGTAACTTCGAGATGAAGCTTAAATATCGCGTCGTGTGTGAATTTTCGGAGAGGAATCGACAGTGCGATTGAGCACTTCAGTATTGTCGTCTTCGCTTTCAAGTGCAAGAAATCCTATTTCCGACGTGAAAACCTCGTCGCCCAAAAATAATTCGTATCGAAAAACCTCGGCGCCATACAAATGCAGAGCTTCAGTGGGAAAGTTGGCAAGTTGCCACTCGAATGAAACACCTTGTGGCGTGATTATTGAGTTTCCCACGGGGTTCACAATGTGCACGGAAACATTCGAGATATCGTACGCCGAGAACAGTTCCTCGTAGTTCGATAAGGGGAACACTACAGGGTGAAAGAAGCTGTACACACACGCAAGGAGGTACGCAACTAACACCGTGGCAACTCCCCCCCCAAACAGAAGCTCTTGCTGGGTGGGAACACCATTATTATTTCGCTTCTTCTTGGTCTCCGTCAAAAGCCCCTTGCTCTTTGCCACCGCTTGATTTCCCGTCGACTCTGGACGTCCCTTAACCACAGCCTTCGAGCTCTTCTTTTCCCTCTCCGGCGGTCTTTTATCTTCTTGTTGCACGCCATCGTCTGAATCTACATTCGGATCAGCACAGTCGTCCTCGTGCTCCGCCTTGGCGATGTGAGCGTTCTTGCCTTCCATGCTGTTTTTCGATTCCAGATCTTTCATGCAAATCTCCTGCTCGATTGCCTCCGGATGCGGAGTGTCTGCCGAATTGCCATCATCCTCCGACTCGCACGAGGTCACCTCCGATGTGATAGTGTCTAAGAGCTCTTGGGCCTGTAAGTACATGAACTCACTACCATTATCACTTGTTAGGATATCCACTTTGTGGAGACGAACAAACGCTTTAAGCGCTTCTAACACAATTGCTGCCGTCTTGTTTCGTAAGAGCTTTGCGTACCCCAGCCTTGAGTTGATGTTGATAGCAGTCAAAATTGGCCGTTTCTTCCAAAACGCAAGATCAATTTGCCACGAGTTGGGGTTATGCGAAGCTATTTTGAAACCATTGAATCTCTTCTTTTGCTCCTGAAATCGTTGAATATCGGGCTGACTCCCATACCAATCCTTTACTATTTTGAAAGTTATCTTAGGATTCAACTCCTTTGCTTTCTGATACAGAGCTTGAGCTCCTATAAAACTGGTTTTTGGGTCATAGTAGAGTTTCTTTAATAGCGCGTCCATGATCTATATTTACATTAAAAAAATCCCCAGTGGCTAGCTGCTTAAATTACAAGTGGTTCAGTCGTGATACCATCATCAAGTACTCGACGTTTGTCATAGTACTAGTTAAGCGCTGTTTTGGTTTGAGTATAGGTGATGATAGACTTAGTTTCTTTCGATAGTCTGAACCCCTTTTTGTACCTTGTAGCGTGATGCGATCCCGTACGACAGTCTCAAACTCCATCGGGATTAAGAACACATTGTTTCGACCACTTCCCTGTTGATACCCTTCGCTGAAACCTTTACTTTGTATGTCTCATCGGGTAGGTAGCAAATATAGTTCTTGCTCGATAGTGAGACCATAGCATCACCTGACCATTCATCTTTGAACAAACCAGGCGTACGGCGATCAAACTTAGCTACCTCAATGTTGTAGTCACGTAGGAACCAATCGTATTTATTGCTCCTTGAAGTGGGTTCGTAGCTCAGGCTTAATACAGTCTTGAAATGGATTATCACAGCTGAAAGCGATATAAGCCGAATCAGTGTCCATCTCCTGATACTGGAAGTCAGAGCGATCGAAGTAGAAATTTATGCAGTCATAGTAAAACTGAAGCATGCGTAGCTTAGCAAGCTGATAGATAGCAATCGACAAATGGATTGGGTTCTTATTATTGAGTCGGCGCTTCTTCCATCGTGATCTCACACGCATCATTAAGCTCCTCGAGACCATGGGACGTAAAGTGTTCGATCTTGTTCTTAATAGCTTTGTCACTCGACTCATACTTAACCTCTTTGTGCTTGCTCATAGCCATGCCAGATCGACCAAAAGCACTGTTGCCTACCAGTTTCACCATCTCGGCAATCATAGCCTTCGACTTATCAACATCACCCTCTCGCCGGGCGTTTGATACAGCCTCCATAAATGGAGCAAAAGCTTTATGGGAGCTCGCTTTTATGAAGCTGTAAATCTTGGTGATCTCCAAACCACGAGAGAGATACTACTTCAGCAAAGATGCGTATCTGAGAATCTTTTCACCAAAGTAGCTACCAAATAACGTGCGAGCTGGTTTTGCTCGGCTTTGCTTGCGCGCCTCATTGTGTTCGAACATTTGCTTACCAATGACGCTATCATTCGTACAGTTGATCAGTACATTCTTGAAAATTGGAGTCATCTCACGAAAGTACTGTTTAAGGTATTCTGGTGTTCGAATATCACATTCAAGAAAGCCGAATACTTTGTATGCTTTGATGTCATCGATGATACCATCATACGCTTCAACCGTAGTCAATCGACCGCATGGCATCTCACTACCAAGGGCCCATAGGGATAGAGCGTTAGCGTCGTATCCGATAATTTTGTTGCAGATCTTACCTCCACGAATCTTCGTCTCGTTTCGCTTAGCATACCTGTTGAATAAAGTTGATGGTCTTGTTAGCTTTCATTTTCCCGTAAATCTCAGATTCCTCCTTGTCAATCGAAAACACCAATCTGTCTGCGTTAAAATCAAGCAGTGTCTTGTATCTGAACCCCCTAAGAGACATATCTTTTCGAGCGGTGTTGCATGAAATGCAGCTGATTAAGATATTCCCATCAGTGTGCCCAAGATTGTTATTGATTCTATCAGCGGAAGCGGTATCAGCAGTCAGCTGACAATAGCATAGACCACACAGATACTTTTGCTTTTGCAGCAATGTATTCACGTGCTCGAGCGTCATACCAAATTTTCGTTTTGCCTTAGCAACCTGACTCTCGTAGCCAGCCATGCGCTTCGCTGGAAATCGGAATGCGTTAGCAGGCTTCTTATCCGGATATTGGAGATTATTGAAGCAGGTCTGATACATAACCTTCTCTGAAAGACCAGGTAGGGACACTCCATCCGCAAACATATCCAGATCGAAGCGCTTAAAAAAGCTCTCGCTGAGCCTTGATAGCTTTGGTGAAAGGGACTACGTCGAGATTATTGTACCAGATCAGTAGGTCTTTGATCGATTTCATCTCGTGGTAATCCCACACGAACTTCACTCGTTCGTAGTCATCGCTCGTGATGCTCGTTCCACGGAGCTTACTATCAAAAGCTGACTTAGGTGGGATAGTAGTCTGCTTTAGAACATTGAACGCGGTGATGTACTCGTAAGGGAAAAGACCCTTACCAAGACCACAGACACATCTAATTTTGCCATCGCATTTGCAGCCACCGAGATATGTTGTAAGATACTTGTCGTAGCTGGTACCAGCTGGTACATAGTTAGTGATATCAAGCATTTTCATGTCCGATGTAGCAATGCACATGTAGCTGGGGTTCTTGATGACAGATTCGACGCTGTCGGTACCAATTACGGCAAACAAATCTTTTTTTAATCAAGTTAATATTATATCGACCAGAATTGAAGCCGAATACTGGTACCTGGTCAAACTGCTGTTTCAGTTTCCCATAATCAGACCTTTGCTTACCAAAACAGACTGCGGTGATAGTCAAAGAAGCTGGCATACTTTCCCTCTTCAATCCAACTCTCCACATCAGACATCTTGTACTTTTTATCAGAATTAGCGCCTGGGACTTCCATACCTGTCAGACCATGTGCATTGATGATTTTTTGTAGAAGCGACATATATTTATTGACATTGTACTGCTGAATTTTAACCGATACATCACCAATGTAATTGAACATTTCGGTAAGTAGCATCTTTGGATCGTCATTTACAAAGCAACGCACCCCCTCGGTTAAACTATCAGCTACTGATACCGACACAGGAATGCGTTCGCTCGTGAAGACAGTATTCTCCCCGTATTGAGTCGCGGTAATCTTAAGAATGGCCTCAAAGTCATAAACGATGAAGTGATCGATGTACTGGTCAGTATTCCTGATTGAATACTTCGTAAGCAGTGATCGTATTACGTTCTGAGCTGGTTTGTAGATAGTTGGCTCAGCTGGGAAGCTTTCGATATTCACGAGCTCACATTGATTCTTTTTGTGATTTTTTACTTTTTCAGCGCTGACGAAAACCACTTCACACTTAGGGCATTGATACTTAGCCTGAAGCATGTCAATGTTCTTGATGTAAAGAGCATGATTCTCGAGCGATAAAATATCCATAGCTTCATACCCTTGTCCGATCTACGAATGCATTCTACATTTCCGGAAGCTACATCCATGCTATATACGCTAATACCGAGTTGGAAGCAGTCCTCAACCTCATCGAGCTGTAGTAGGTCAATAGGCTTGAAACTTCTAAATGGACTCAGCGTATACTTCACCCCCTTGAAAGAGCAGTTGCGCTTGAATACCTCCTTCACCTGAGCCTGAATTCTGCGAGGATCC